CCCACCCCCCCCCCAACGGCCCCAGCCCTCTAAGAGGCTTTGCATGCTCCTTTTAAACCCCGGTTCGACTCATTTTTGTTCCTGGCATCTTAGCAACGCCGCCCCCTTAATTAAAAATTAGATTGGATTTTGCAGCAGGGAAGGAGCCGGAGGCCGTGCAGGGCTGGCGTGGCGCAGGGCAGTGCCCTCATCCTCCCCCCCATCCCATCCTGAAGGGGGGGGTGCCCTGGCTGAGCCCCCCCCAGCTCAGTGCACACGTGGCCGCATCCCGGCTCTGCACCCCTCACTCTGAATGACCTTGGCTGAACAGCCCCCGTGCCTCAGTTTCCCCCCAAAGGCCCTCTGGGGTCACACAGGGACACGGGGGGTGGGGGGGGGGGAGGAGGGGGGAGCTTGTGGCTTGCAGCAAACCCCATAAAGTGAGCAGGGGAATGGAGATGCTCTGCATTCCCCCAACCCTGCGCTCCTTGAGGGCTGCTTCAGTGGGGGTCGGGGGTCCGAGCTGCCCCCACACTCCCCCCTTGCACGCACACAGTAGCCCCCACACGGCTCCCCCCGATATGACCTCGGCCAGGCCACATCCCTGCACACATCACGCCGTGACGGGTCCCCTCCAGTCCCTGGGGTGCCCGGGGTTGGCTCCCCCCGCCGACAGCTCCCCGCACCAACCCACCCCGAGCCCCATCTTCACCGCCATCGCCGCTGCGGGACCCAAAACGGGGGGCGCGACCCCAACCGAGGGGCACCAGCGTGACCCGAACGGAGGGAGCACGACCCCCACCCGAGACCCAAACGGAGGGGTTCAGCCTCGGAGAAGGGCAGAATCACGCACCGGGACGCGGTAGCGGGGGGATCCCTCAGCTCTCCCCCAGCGCCGCGCGGGGGCTCCGCGGGACGTGGCTTCGGGACCCCCCCAGGCGCATCCCAGTGGGGCGCGGTGCACTGGAGCGCGGTCCCACCCTCGAGCACAGCCCCGGGCCGAGCCGAGATGGGGCCGAGCCGAACCGAACCAAGCCGAGCCGGGATGGAGACCCGAGCCGAAACGAGCCGGGATGAGGGCCGAGTCGAACCGTGCCGAGCCGGGATGGGGGGGCTGGAGCCGAACCGTGCCGAACCGGGATGGGATGGGGGCCCGAACCGAATCGGGACGGAGCCGGAGCGGTGCGCTGCAACTTGGGACACGCACTTCGATGCCGGTACGCGATGCTCGACGCTCCCGGAGCGCGGTGCTCACCTTGCCCGTAGCAGTCAGCGAGAGTCAGGAGGCAGAGGAAGAGGAGCCGCATGCTCCCGTCCCGGCAGCGCTGCGGGCACGGGGCGCGGGGGGGGCCCGCTCCCCGCCGCCCCGCTCGGCCCCGCCGCCGCCGCCGTTAGAGCATGGCCCGGCCGGGCCGGGGCCGGGGCCGGGGCCGGGGAAGGGCCACGGGCTCCGCTCGCTCCGTGCAAAACCGCTCCGTGCCGCTCCGAGCTGAGCCGCGCCGCCCCGGAGTGCGCGCTGCCGGCGGGGCGGAGCCGGGCCGGGGGCGGACTCGGGACACTTTGGGGAGGGGGAGAGGGAGGGCGGGGGCTGCGCGGTGTTCGGGGTGTTTGCGGGTGCGTGGATATGCGTGCGTGTGTGTGCACGCGTGTGGAGGCATGTTGGTGCGCGCGTGTTGGTGTGGAAGCGAGCGTGCGTGCGTGTGCGTGTGTGTGTGTGCACGCGTGTCGTGTGTGTGCACGCGTCTGCCCGTGGCTGCAGGAATGTTGGTGTGAGCACATGTGTGAGCGCGGGGTTGGGGGTTGTTCTTTTCCGTGCACACTCGTGCGTGTGTGTTGGCTGCACCCTCTGTGTGCGTGTTGGGGTGTGTCTGTGTGCACGCACGTGTGTGCCTGCTGGCTGCGTGTGTGCAGCATGGCATACACTCGCGTGGGTCTGGCAGCACCCACTCAGGACCTACATCTCCCCTCACGACCCCCCTAAAGCCCCCAATACACCCCCAGGACCCACACCTCCCCTCCAGGACCCGCTGTATCCCCCCTACAGCCCCCAGCTCCCCCCCTTCCAGGACCCCCTGCTCCCACCCAGGTAGGGCGCTGCAGTCTAAGTCCCCCTCTAACCCCCCCCCCGCTCCTTCCTCACCTCTCCCCGCTCACCACGCGCTGATCCATCCCTCTCTATTCCTCTTTGAAAACTTTCTAAGCCGCAGCTGAAGGCCTTGGATATCAGCGGCTCCAAAAATCCTCTTGCCTGCAGGCTCCGGGGAAGGGAAGCTTTCCAAGTAGAGCGGAGCGGGCTAAGCTCTGGGTAGAGGCAGAAGCTTCAGCTTTCATGGTTGGGGTTTGATTTTTTTTTTTTTTTTTTTTTTTTTTTTTTTTTTTTTTTTTAATAGAATTTCTAGCCCTGAGGGTTTTAGAGAAAACATTGCAAATGGGAACCAGCGCGGCTGCCTGAGTCAGCAGCATCTCCTGCGCCCGCCGGGCTGCGGCTGTGCCAAGGGTGGAGGCGAGCAGAGCTGGGGCCGAGAGCAGAGCGGCCCTTTCCTTGGCTCGAGCGGGGATTTCTAGCACCGATTTAGATCGTTTTATTTATTTATTAGTCGTATTTATTTACTTATTTGTTTGTTTGCCAGACCTGCTTCCTCCAGCCTCCTCCCTGCGCTCTGTGCTTACCCCCTGTGCCATACGGAGGGGGCTCACGGTGGGCACTGCTCCCCACTCGGGGGCTCTTCCTCCTCCTCCCCTTCACCTCCCGCCCCACTCGGGGTTGCAGCTTCGTTCCCCGCACCTCCTCCCGTTCCCCGTCCGTTCCCCTCTCCGGATCGAGGACGGCGGCCCCGCGCTGCCCCCTGGTGCCTTCAGGAGTCCCGGGACGGAGCAGCGAGGGGTTGGATAGGAGACAGCAATGGAAGTAGCAAAGCGAATGGGTTGTTTAATTAATTAAAACCGCAGCCACTCGCGGGTGATGTGGCGTCTGCGTGGGGACGATCGCTGTGCCGCCGTGTCCGGCAGGGCACAGAAGCCGTCTGGCTCTCCAAAGCTCGTCCTCTTGTCCCAGACTCCACAGCCCTTTCCCTCGGCGTTTGGAGGGA